AATAATGATATATCTTGCTAATCGATCCTCCTCGCGAAATACTTTCCTAACGAACCGTCCCGTTAAATCCGTTAAAGCTTCCGGTTAGGGGAGTGGCGCGAGAACAACGGTCCTTCCGAAAAATTTGCCTAGACACAAACGGATAATACGACTGACCGAACCTATGCGCCCCGTTTCTTTTTTTTTTTTTTAGTTTTTCTTTTCCGAGCAAAAGCGAAAAGCGATGGGGTCTTTTCCTTTCACAGAAGGCCACTTCGAAAATTGTTACTTTTTTTTTTGTTTGTTTCTTTACTTTTTAATACTTACAAAGAGTCACTCGAACCGGTGTGCCGACTTTAAAAAAACCTCCCCCCTCTTCCCCCGCCTCTTCTCACGTCGACTTTTTTGTTTTTAGAAAGTACCGTCTCCCCTTTCACGCTCCTCTTCCAATTTTTACTCTTGTCACCTCCCTTCGTCACAGTCGCCCTCCCTCTCTCACATTCGCACACTCTTTCTCACATTCGCACGCTCTTTCTCACATTCGCGCACTCTCTCTCTCTCTTTCCCTTCTTCCTTCTAAAATTGTCCCTGGGATGGCTAGGCCCGAAACGAACTCGCTCGTGGACGTCGCACGATATCTCTGAACGGCGGTCCGTGGCAAGAACGATCGACGAGTAGGCTCGCGAATCCAAATCCGAATCCGACTCGACAGCTGTCGGCGCCGAGGATCTGCTGGCAGATCGATTCTGTTAACCGATTCGTCCGTCGATTCGCCGGCTACTCGACGCTGATCGTTCTCCGATTGTCGAGGATCGAGGGTCCCTTCGCGAAAAAGTCGTACGCGCGGTGTGTAAAATTTTGAAAAATAGCACGATCTTTCCGAAACAAAAGCATTCGGTCGCGCGCGCACCACGCATTGTCTCCCATTCTCACGGTGAATCTCAGGCAAACAGTGTCACTCTCACACACACTTTCTCTCTCTCTCTCTCTCTCTCTCTCTCTCTCTCGTCGATTCTCAACGCGCACGCGATCGCAACAACAACGGATGCACGCCGCTCTCGCACACTCGCACACCTCTATCGACATGTTCTCCAGTTCCAAATTCAATGAATTTCCTCGTTTCCCTAATCTCTAAACCTTATAATTTTTATACTTGGCATACCCCAAATATGGCAGGAAGGCAATCATTACACTTAATAAAGTATAGCAATCGGTTATTTTTTCTTTGTTCTTCCATCGCATGTTCTCTTTCGGTGTTCGCTCTCGAGTCGAACAGCGCTCAACATCGTCTCCCCCCCCCCTCTCTTTCGTCCCGTGAGGGTTTTTTTAGTCGTTTTCTCGTGCGACAGACACTCGTAAGCAAATTTTGTACATCCCGGGGTTCGTCGGGGCTTGCTCGCGCGGATTTCTCTGTGACCGCGCGCGCGCGCGTTTCCCGGACGATCCAAATACCGAACAGCGATCTAAGATTCTCCCGATCGTCCGGCATCGGTCCCCGACGAGCCGCGTCGCGATCAAAAAAACTGAAACATCTAGTCCGCGCCGGCGAACCGATCCGATCCCGGCGGCGATCGACCGACGCGGATAATGGCCCGTGGCTCGAGGCCGCGCGCCAATTACTATACATTTGGCATTAAACGTACGGTTATCGTATATGCGTGAATATATAAATCTCGAGTTTAAGCGTGTGTCCCTGGCGCCACGCGGTGCTCGCTCGCTCTTCTCTCTCCCCCCCTCTCTCTCTCTCTCTCTCTCTCTCTCTCTCTCTCTCTCTCTCTCTCTCTGCGAATACAGCATTTTACTTTCCGGGAGTCGGTGGACTCGCGACCGGCGACCGATCCGGTCGCGCGAGATCCACGCGATTCGCGGGATCCACGCCGCCGGCGGCAGGCGACTGCGAGCGATCGCGATCCACGTCCGAGATCGCGTTGGGAAGAAATGTGTGTCGGTCTGGTTAATACGGTCCGTCGAGAGGGTCGATTGCGACCCCGCGCGCCTGCTCGCCGGCTCGCGTCCCTCTTCTCTTCTCTTCTCTCCCCGTTCTCTCTTCCTTTCCTCTCTGCATCATTTTGATTGTAAGCCTCGATCTCGTGTCCCAAGATCGCTAACAAGTATACTTTTGCGTCGCCGCGAGAGCGAATCCTCGCTCGAGTCGCCCGAGAGGTTTGCTCGATTCGGTCGCGAAGATCGGACGAATCCGCCGACGCCGGGCCGGCTCGCTTTGCTAGAAGAATCGTGGTGTTCCGGAGCCCGGGACCCGATCGGGTCGGCTAAATTAGTCGCGTCCACTTCGCTCGGAACGCTCGGCTGCGCGGAAAGAGCCGGCCGCTGACGGGGATGCCTGCTGGAACCCGAAGCTGGTCCAACCGGCAACGATTAGCTCGCTCTTTCGTGCTCGGCCGTCGCTGGCTTACTATTCGCAACGGGAGTCCGTCAGTGGCTCGAGCTTCACCGGGATCTTGTCCTTGTCCTTGAGCCCGTGCGGGCTCTTTACCAGATCCGCGATGTCCTCTTGGAAGAGATTCTCCGGCCGCGGGCTGACGAAACTTCGCGCCGGCTTGTAGGTCATTCCGCTCACGCCGATGCCGACCTCCACGCTGCTCGGTATGTGTCCCGGGTCCATCAGCGGGCCCAGCGGGCTCGCCAGGGGACTCTCCATCGGGCTTTCGGGCGGGCCGCCGGACCCCGGGCTGGCCAGGCCAAGATTCAACGGCGAGTTGCCGTTGTTGCCTGGCCCGGGACCAGGCATCGGTCCTCCGCCGCCGCTGCCGTTGTTGCTGCCGATCACGGCGCCGCTGTTGTTGCTGTTGTGATGGTGCTGGCTGGCCTGCATCGCCGCCTGTAGATTCGACGACAGGCTGCTCGACATGTTCGTCGACATGTTCGTCGAGAGATTCGTCGCCATCATCTCGTGCTGCTGCGAGTGCGCCGCTGCCACCATGCTGCACATCTGATGTCGCAGACCTACTTGGAAAACACGTCGCTCGATCAGAAGCGTTAATCGAAAGTATAGCCGGGTTTTAGCCGAGCAAACCCCGGGATCTGCGTCGCGGTTTACAGCCGATACGGAGGCGAATCGGGGGTCCGTTATAGCTCGGCTAGGCAAAAGAGACGTTTTACACGTTACCTTGGGCGACCGCTGCAACCGCGGCCGCGGCTGCAGCTCCGGGGCTGACCGCTCCTTCCGGCCCGTTGCAGGCGGCGTAATTCGCCAAAGTCGGGTACATCGTGGCTGGCTCTTCCTTGACGATGTGCGGCGAGTGTCCGTCGCGGAACACGACGGCCCGGATCACGCCGCGGATGTGCTCGTCGGGCCAGACGCCAAGCAGAATCCTTTGCGGCCTGCCTCGTCCCTTCGGGCGCAGATCTGAGCAGCCAAGAATCAAGCCGGGAATCGTATTTGAATCGTCAAGAAAATCGGCTTTACCGCGACGTATCCGCGACGATCCACCGTTTCTCGAACTTCGGTGCGACGTGCTCGCGGAACGTCGCTCGGCTTACTCCGTTAACCCTTCATCGCGGACAAGCGCGAGCATCGTCCGATCGATCTCCTCGAGCTTATCCGCGACGTAGCGAGGTTTAACAGGCGAGCTCGTTCGAAGCCCTCTGTACCGACAGTTGCTAATGACGCTTTATAAGAGATACTTGTCAAGCTTCCATCGATAGGCTTGCGGTAGCTGAAGCGTTCGGAACGACGATTCGGCCGCGACGAGTGTGTTCCGTGTGCCCGGTTCGCATGTTCGAAACGCAATGGCAACGTTGACGAAAAGGGAAGGTGGAAGTGAAGACGAGAACGCAGCGTTATCCGCTTCTCGAAGAATCGTCGATCGTGCCCTGTTCGCGTGTCCCCTCAACCCCTACCCCAATGAGTTAACCCTTAGCGCTCCGAAGGCTCCGCTACGGAGACATTTGTCATTTGTTCCGTAACTCCGAAGGCTCCGCTGCGGAACCAAATGTTTTTAGCATACGTTATCGTCGGCGTTAGCAATTGTTATCCGTAGTTGAAACGTGCTAAGTCTGTACCATTACGATTAAACCACTTTTTGACCTTTTCTATGGTTAGCAACACGGAGAAAAATAAATATTAGAGCCGAGTGATACCGAAGACGTATTTGATTTTGAAGAGTTAAAAGACATTGTGGAAGACGATGTTGGTTATGATTCTGACGCTTCGAGTAGTAGTAGCGAAATTATACTACCAGAGAGACGAAAAATGAGAATTATTGAAAGTGAAAGCGAAGATTCGTTACAAGACTTAGACGAATGGCGTGATGTTACGGAAGAATTACATATTCCAGATGAAATACCTTTTAGCGTATCGCCACAGGTCATTGGACCACAAGTTTCTACGAACATTGAACAACCGATACATTAAATGATTAAATGATTTCTCACGGACGAATTGGTAAATGAAATTATATATAAAGGAAACCAACAATTACGCGGAAAATGTTCTAAACTTGAAAGAAATATCTGGTAACTCTATTTGGCAAAGTGAATACTGTGACACTTGTCCAAGTAAACCCAGACTGCACATGGGAGATTGATACCAAAGATATCGCACCATATTTTTGCATCATATTTTTATAATCGTTGACAATCGGTAACTATAAAAACAAGTCGCAAGGCTCCTCTTCCCAAATTGTCCATTTTTGTGGACAATCTGAGCGTCAATTAGAGAGACATTATTACTGTACTCGAGAAACACGCGGATCGCTAAGGTTTAATTCATTGACGATTCATCGAGGCGGATAAGCGGTCCCGATCGGAAGCTCCGCTGCGCGTCCGCACTTCCCCTAAATCCATGATCGAGAAACGGCCGCGTCGCGACGGTTCAGTGAAAATGGCAACTAACACTCACCGGCCCCGCCGTCGGCGCTCGGACCCAGCATGTTGTGCACCCGGTTGGCGTACAGAACGAAGGTCGGGTACGGGATGTCATATTTCCTGCAAAAGAAACGCACAGTGATTCGTTTCGCGAGAACGCAACGGTTCCGTTCGCATACGTTGACCCCCTTGGGAACGCACGGGGGACGGCAGCCTCGATCGATTCTCGTTAAGATTATCGGACCCGTTCCGCGAAACGTTCCCCCCCGATCGTGCGCTCCCTTGTTCGCGCAAAGGGAAAAACCTTTTAACGGCGACGCGTTATTACGCGTACGCGATACGCGTTTTACGAGCCGGCTGTAAAAAGTTCTTAAGACGGCCGCCGCGGCTCGACTCGACCCGGCCCCCGGAATGGTCTCGAGCGCAATGCTCGCCTGCGATTCTTTCTTCTTCCGCGTTTTGACCCATTTAAGTTCTCTCCGTTCGCGGCTCGCCGCGGATCGGCGACAATCGAGACAGAATTCGGAATGTCATCTACCACCGACGGGCACCGATTGATTTCGTACAGTCATCGAAGAACGGTTCCACGGTCGGTAGAATCGAAAGCGATCGCGTTTAACCTTTTAGGCACGACGCGCCACTATAGTGGCTTCCGCGGATGTCATCTTTTAGAACGACACACCACTATAGTGGCTCTCGCGGATGTCATCTCTCTGGACGACGCGCCACTATAGTGGCTTACTCTAGTAGCTCACTCGCTCGTCATTTGAGCCAAATAATCGTCTTCATATGCATTGTTTCACACTTCTTTTGTCTTCGCATCGATTTACAACAGTCTACAGGGTGTCCGAAAAATGTCTCGCAATCCGGAAATGGCGGGTTCCTCGGATCATTCGAAGCAACTTCTTCCTTTACAAAAATGTTCTCCGAGGCACCGTTAACGAGCTGTCTCTTATACACATCTAGATGTGTATAAGAGACAGGTCTGATACTGTATATACAGGGTGTCCTAAAAATGTCTCGCAATCCGGAAATGGCGGGTTCCTCGGATCATTCGAAGCAACTTCTTCCTTTACAAAAATGTTCTCCGAGGCACCGTTAACGAGCTGTCTCTTATACACATCTAGATGTGTATAAGAGACAGGTATCAGACTCTGCTGTCCAGAGAAATAGTCTCGCGCAGAATTCAGCCGTACCTAAAAGGTTAAGAATCGTCTCTTCGGTGGTAACCCGACGATCAAGTATGGCGAGAGTATCGTTTAAGATTCGGCATTTCATTGCAGAGGCGGTCCGATGAACTTCCTTAGTTGAATTGAACCTTGTCGCGCCGCAAATATCCATCTAATAATGAAATTCTTCTCAGCGCACGCGGGCGCGCGCCTTAAACGGTTTGGAACGGTCTGTGACGTGGACGTAATCCAGACGATTCGACTGCTTAAAGTTAAATAACGGTGCAGCGCGGGTCCTCTGTGCCACGTGCAAAATTCAGCCCGGCCAAGTTCGAGCGGCGCGCGCGCGGTGGCGAAAATCGCGGGGCCGCCGGCCAAAAGTCGTGTCTCCGAACGGAAATTATTCAGATGTTTCGTTATAAAACGTCGCACCGCGCGAACCGGGACGCGCAATCCTTTCGACAATCAATATCTAATCGGCACGGCGGATACGAATCGCGTGACTATTCAACGCGGATTATCCTTGCAAATCGGAGAATTCTTCGGAACCGAGAATATACGATCAGATACACGGACCTGGCTTCTAATTTTCCTGAATTTTTGATTTTACTTCGTGATCACCCTTCGCCGGGGATTACGCGTGCGTCGACGAAGAAAGGTAAACGGAACGCGCCCGCGCGTTCGGGATGAAACAGAAGAACGGGATGAAAAGTTTGAAGTTGGAGATTACCTCGCGGCTTGACTCAGGGATAATCCCTCCTTGAGGACGCTGAAGATCGCCTCCGCCATCGTTTCCGGCCTCCAGGACTTGAGGGGCCCGCGTTCACGGAAACGTAGATTGTGCACCAGGCTCTGATTGGTGTTCCAGCACTTCTGCCACATCGACTGCAGCTGATATTGGTAGCTGTCTGCTAGTTTACGCCCCCCACGGAAAAGAGAAAACAGAAAAAGCACAGCGTTAGTCGGTGTCTCGGTTTCGTTCCTGCGGGTAAGGGGGGTGTGGGGTTGGGGGGGGGGGATAAGGATAGACACGCGATCGGTTTCGACATTGGGTTATTATCCATCGTTCGCGCGAGCAACTTGTCGATCGGCGTTTGCCGAGCATACACATGTAAAATACGTTTTACGCGATCGTTCGATCGATAAGTTGGTCGCGTTCGGAGCGGTATCGCTTGATCGCGATTGTAATAGAAAAACGAATGGTAACGGTGAATGACGTTCGTCGGTAGGATGCGCCGGCGAATGACGTGAATAACGTAAATAGCCAAACGTGGGTAAGTCGAGTCAAGGTGCGACAATCACGTGCGATTGGTTCCCTCGTAGCTGCTTTGCCGAAGCGTACCTGCGAACAAACTGTTGAAGGCAAATTGCGGCGGGGAAAGGGTCGGGGAATAAAAATGCACACACAGAGACCGCCTTCTGGTACGTTCACGTATCGATTGTATTGTCGTTAGCATACAATCCTTCGCAAAGAAAGAGACAGAACAGAGCTGAAGAAACAAAGAGAAGTGAGAGAAGAAGAAAAAGAGAGCGAGGTGGAGAAGGAGAGAAAAAGACAGAGCGAAAGAGAGAGAGAGAGAGAGAGAGAGAGAGAGTGAGAGAGAGAGAGAGAGAAACGCGTGTGAGTTCATAACGGAACAAGCTCGCTCGTTAATAGAAAATATTTTGCTTAACGTTAAACCGGTAATCGCAGGCTCGCAACGGTTTGCCTCCGCGGCGCGATACAACTCGAACGCGCGCACGGCCGTACGTCGCGGACGGCTGACCTCAATTCGCAACGATTATTTAATAGTTAACTTATTGGGTTTAATTGAGCATCCTCCAATTTGACGATTAATACAATTAATTGGAAAGACGCGCCCGCCAAGTTGCGCGGACGCGCTGCCCGTTGCGGGCCCGTTTGCGCTTGCGTACGAACAAGCGCGCACGACGCGCGACAATAACGACAATAACGATAGAAACCGAGGAGACGAAAGCCCTCTTTGACCGTTCCACGCCGCGATAAACGCCGATACGACTTTCCCACAATTTATCTATCGGTCCTCGAACACGGTGCAAAAGCGTCGCCGTGCCTCCGAGACTTGGGAACAGGCGCGGCCGAATCGCGCGCGCGGTTGCTCTTCTTTTGGCACGAGATGCTACAGTAATGACTCCCTAACTGACGCTCGGATTGTCCACGAAAATGGACAATTTTTGGAAAAGGACATACGACTCGTGACTCGTTTTTTATGGCTATCGATCGTTAACAACTATAAAGACGAGTTGCAAGGCTCGAATAATCGTGTCTCCTCTTCCCAAATTGTCCATTTTTGTACAATCTGAGCGTCAGTAAGGGAGACATTACTGTGCTTATTTGTTCCGTTCTAGGTTTAACAAGGAATGCATAATTATCTGTTAATCCGTGCTAGATTTAACAAGGAAGAACATTCGAATATCCGGACTTTTTAGCTTTCGAGAACAGTCTGCCTCGGTGTCTTTTTTATTTCGAGGTCACCGTTTCGAAACATAGTAATGTCTCCCTTACTGACGCTCAGATTGTCTACTAAAATGAACAATGTTTGGAAAAGGAGATACGATTGTTCGAGCCTTATAGCTCGTTTTTTATGGCTATCGATCGTCAACAACTATAAAAACGAGTTGCAAAGCTCGAATAATCGTGTCTCCTCTTCCCAAACTGTCTATTTTTCTGCACAATCTGAGCGTCAGTAAGGGAGACATTGCTGTACTTATTTTTTCCGTTAATCCGTGCTAGTTTTAACAAGAACGTCCGAATCCCCGAACTTTTTGGCTTTCGAGAACAGTCTGCCTCGGTGTCTTTTTTATTTCGAGGTCACCGTTTCGAAACATAGTAATGTCTCCCTTACTGACGCTCAGATTGTCCACTAAAATGAACAATGTTTGGAAAAGGAGATACGATTGTTCGAGCCTTGCGGCTCGTTTTTATAATTGTGGACAATTTATAACTATAAAACTAAACCGCAAGGCTCGAATAATCATGTCTCCTCTCCCCAAATTGTCCATTTTCGTGTGGACAATCCGAGCGTCAATTAGAGTGACATTACTGTAAGCACTGTCGACGTCGCGCGCGTGCGTGTCATTTTTCGAAAAACAGCGCTGCGTTTCGGATCGAAGAATTTGGCGCGACTCTTTCGTTAAAAGATCGACCAGCCAGTGTTGCATTTGTTTAATTTTAACTGGTACAAGAGGCTGCTCGCAGAAGCCGAGCGACGTGGCTGCGTCGTCCGGGCCCGAGTTTTCGCGGCGGTATCTCTGTCGCGGCTTATTCGCTCTATAAAAACGTCGCGAAATCTTTCGATCCGAACGCCGGAGCCGGGCTTATCATCGTTATCTTGCGCGCGAGAGATCAATTGACGGTAGACTTTCCGCGTCGGACTAATTGCAAACACGTCGGCGCTGCGCGTCTTTCCCGTGACGCGTGGAACGTGAAACGTAACGATTCGTTTCGGCGAGGTAGCGCTATAATTCTATACACTATGTATATATCACGGAACGAGAATCTTAGCATGGTTCTAAGGATCGTCGCGATCGAGTCCGAAGAGCATCCTGCCGCACAGTGTCACGGATCCACGAAAACACGAATTAAATTAAAGTTAAATTTTCAACCTTTTTGGAAATGTATGAAACTTTAAATACACATTCTTCGATCCATGAATTAACATTTCGCACGTTGCGAGTTGCCAAAAGTCGCCTGGAATTGTGTTTCAAGCGATTTAACGATGAAACGTCTAATCAGATTTTATTCTTTAACTAATTCAATTTTTGTTTAGGTTTCATCCAATTGCATCCATTTTCTGTATGATCGAAGAGCATACTTTTAGCTACGAATCTCAGGAGAGATGAAGGTATAAACACAATTTAACTCATTGAAATCGTCTCTTTTTTTAAACCCTTCTTTCTCGATTTCGTTTTTGCCTTGATTAGAGCTACAAGGTGGAATTCACGCTAAGTCACGATGAATCTTGCAGAAAGGTGCTTGGTAGAACCTACGGAAAGTGTCCGAAGAAGAATTTTTTGCGTCGGCTCGCGTCTGCAGAAGTTACAACGATTTATTCGTAGCCAATGCGTGAAATACCGCTCTGCGTCGAACCAAACACCTTCGCATCGATTTATTTGTCCCGATATTTCGCGAGGGTTTAAAGTTATCAAAAATATGTTCCTACAAAAGTTGTTCGGTATAGAGGGGGACGTTGGATGATGCAAACAATATTCCTACAGGTGTAGTGGTGGGGGAGATATCGAAGTCTAATTAATATTCTTAAATGGGATCCTGTATTTTTTTATCCATAATATAATAGCGTTTGTTGAGACGAATACAATGATCTACAACATGATACCATTCCATGTGGTGAAATGATGTAAATGATATAAATACGAGACAGATGAGCGCAAGTCGCTAACTGAAATCTACGCGACAGTATTAGTTATATTATAGAAAAATGGTTATATTATATTAGAATATTGTTTATGTCATACCTCTTCATACCAATCAACTTTTAACTTAGGAATATATTTTTGAAAACTTTAATCCCTCGCGAAATATTCCACCGAGTCTACTTAAACGGATCAGCCTGTATGTTCCGTTCCTCAACGGAATTTTTCTTATATATATAATATAATATAATATAATATAATATATATAATATATATAATATAATATAATATATATAATATATATAATATAATATAATATATATAATATATATA